AACAAGTGGAAGTGCTAAGAGGGATATAAGCACAGCTGGAACAAGAAACAGGCTAAAATTAACAGTGAAGCAATAACCCAACTATTCAATTCATCCAAGTTAGAGGCAAGTCTTGGACGTTCTACTGTGAGTCCATTTCGTAACCCACCCCCACCCCCCACCCCAATAAGAAACAAAGCAGGAATATCCATAGTGACAGATACCCAAAAGACCAAAGACATGAGGCACATATTCACACACACAATCTAGGCCTTTAAGGTCTATCATGAACAGTTTCTGTAGCAATCTCCAGTTGTATTACCAGATGGTTTTAAATAGTCAAGTCAACGTGTGATTACTTGGTGTCATCTTTTTTTGTTGTTTTTCTTTTTATAATCCGTTACTGTTTCGTCTGTACAGAAAACACAGATCTGAGATGGCGTACAATGCAAAAGGAACAGTGACAACAAATAATCCCACTACACTTGACTGCACTTGTGTGTTGAGCACAAAAGCTCCCGTGGATATCTAACACAGAGGCTCGGTGACTGAACCTCTCACCAAAACAAAGCAGAGCTGAGGTTGAAAATCCACAAGGTTGGTCTTTCCATGGGCAGCGCATGAATGTCACAATAACAACCAACCAGTGTAACTGAGTCACTACAGTAGAGTGTTTACAGAAAGAGGAACTTTAGAGAAGCGTTTCTTTTTTTTCTTTTCTCCCCTCCCCATCTCTCTCCCCCCCCGCACATCAAGAACTGCAGATGAGATTTGTGGAATGTGTTTTGTCGTTTTCTCCAATAAGCACACAGTGCGTATTAATAAAGCAAGACAGAAAGGAATGCGCGTTTACATGGACTATTGTCCACAGTCGGAACGACGGGAAGTAGCAGGGAATGAGAGGAAATGGTCGAAAAAGCAGGTTTTAATTTGTGCAGCTTCAACACAGACAGTCAGACTTGTAGTTTACGTGACGTCTGTGTAGACAGTGGCAGATAAATGTGAATTAATTTCCTCTTAATTTCAGAGTTTGGGATGTCAATCTTCCTCATTAACTATCTAATTAGTTTAATCTCATAGTATATTATTGATTTAACTCTCCTTCTCCTTACATAACCAGTCTACTGCACTGAGCTTTCCCTGTTTGCATTTGGTTTGAATCTTACCACAAAGAGAGAGAAACAAATACTGTTAAGGAGGTGTAAACAAAATTTCAAAAAAAATTTGGCAACATTATAATTTTGGGGTACGGTAACATGAAACACTGATATCTACTTAAAAAAATATTTGGGTATGCAATGACAAACTGGAATTTTTCTTGGTCATATTTCTAAAATGCAAAAGGAATATGCAAGACCCTTTTTTTTTTTCTTTTAAATCCAAGTAGACAAAATAAAAAAATGACTGCCACACAATAAAAGGAAAAAGAGTCCTTTGTCACCAAAAAGCGAGAGTATTTTTCTGCTAAATTTGCCACACGTCCTTATTCCACCTGTGTTAAAGTGAGGGTCGGGGGCTGGCTAAGAAAAAGTTCATCTGGAATGTTGCTAGGGATCGTTGCTAGGCAGGCCTCAGACGAAACACTGTCATTGAGATAGGCAGTGACTGGTCCCGCCCACCCCCTAGCCAATGGAACGTCCTGAATTGTAGCGGGTTGGGTAAAGGGTCCCTAAATGGCAATTTTGGACATTTGCTCTTCAAGTTTGATGATTCGCTTCTCCTGACTGCTGACGAGGTCCTTGAGGGATTTGATTTCTTTCAAGATCTCCTCCAGCTTGGCTTCAGATTTCTGTGGGAGAGACGAGAGACGAGTGAGACTTTCTGGTATGTTTTTCTACCCACAATGCAGCTACAACCGCCGCTCGCTGTGAAACAAACGCACAGCTACAGACACATGTGAAGCACAACAGTGAGATTTGAGACACTTCCTGTCTTAAAGCCGCTACCTACAGTGTTAGACCGTATGCCAGGTGGCAGGGTCTGGTACTCTGGGGGTTAACATGTTTGGCCAGCACTGGAGCCCAGTGGGCCTGTGATTACAGAGCAGAACTGCAGAGACACACATGGGCTGGGTCCCAGGCGGGTGGCTGTGTTGTGGGTGAGGTGCGGCAGGACGCCCAGCAGCAGGCGCCCAGAGCAGCAGCAGACCCCTCAGTTTGTGGGTCAGAGAGTGGGTTGAACATCATCTACAAACCACTTCAGGAAGACAGCCAGCAATCTGCCCTGCTTCCAACATATACAATTTGTCTTCTTGACACTGGGAGCCCCAGAGAGGCGAATGCAAGGCCAGCATTGAGGGCCATTAATGAAGGAGACGGAGGTGGTAGTCAGGAGGACGGACTGATGTCTGATGATGGGTGGTAAGGCTTTGAAATATATTGTTTATTCCATCTTTCTTATCACATGAGGGGTTTTTAGGGTGGGGAACTGTGGTACACAAAACTTGCTCTTAGACAATTATTTATCTAAATAAAGGTTACGATGTTTATTTATATAAAACATCACTTCCCAATATCATACAGTGTAGAGCTGAAACAATTAGTTAATCAATCAA